CAGTATTTTGGCTCTACAAGCATTCTGGAAAAGGACGCTAGTATTGGATCATTGTTACAACTTGAGATTCTCAGGGGTTTGCTGTGTTGCAACATTGACTTGTCACAGGGTACGCTGTTGGTTAATCTCTGCAAAAACTTGGGATGGGGAGAAGATGTGGAATAGCCATTGCGTGGTCAGTGAGCTTTTTCCCCACAGTGACAAATTCTGATGTGTTGGAAGGACCTGTAAGTGGAAAATGTTATTTTTGCTGCAACTAAGAAATAATTAAAAAAAATCACTCTAGGAGATCTGTGAATCTCAACCAACGAAGGAAATAAGAACTTTCACAAGCATCTTGAGTTCCTAGCGGATATCTTTAAAAGGTTATTACTAGAATTAGTGACTACAGAGAGGCAGGAACATGTTCATACAGGGTGGCTAAAATGAGTTCTTGTATCAGTTCCACCTGTGTTCAAAAACTTTCTAAGCAAGGAGTCCAGGAGAGCATTAGACTAAAACTGAGCTAATCACACATGTGCTTCAGCTGAGGTACCAGTGTTAGCAGCTGGTCTGCACAGAGCCGCAGCTATTTGTCCAATGAATTACCCAAGAAGAGTGCTACAAATGGAAGGTAACTGTTTTAAGTTTTTAACTGGATTAGTTTTAGTGGCTGTCATAAGCTTTGTTCTTCCTTCTGTCCCACATGTACTGCTGTGGGGCCACAGTCAAATGCAAACAAGTAGTCCTGTTTCTGGGGTTTGTTTCTTCCTGTGCGAGAGAGGCATAGCCAGCCCGTGAGCTGAGTCCTGACTTCTACAGGTCTGAATACTGAAGTCCGTATGGACACATTTGGCTGTCTTTATGCTGAACATTAGGTGTTTCCTTATCAATTTGTGCAGCCTGAATCAGTTCTGGTTTAGAAATAATGGTTGCAGAGCAAGAAGGTATCTGTTAAATTAATACCGATAAAATTATGACTTCAGTGATAATTTTAAATGCAGTGGCTTCTGCTGAGGATGCTACTGAAGGGTTTCCTTCTTTACTTCTGAATTTCCTTTAATAGCTGCTGTTCTCTGAAGCCTTTAATCTTGATGTGATAGGAGTATGAGCTTGTAGAGGCTCGTTGCATTAATCAGATTATAAAACTTCTTTGGTATTACTGGAAGAACATTTGTAAGTTTACAGATTGGTGCTGTTTCAACAACATGTTAAGATTTGATTTAATGAAAGTTTTAGAATGACTGTCACTCATTATTTCTGTTTCCTGACGTGATTTAGTGCTTTACTAGTAGGTTACTGCATTGTTAATAAGGTTCTTACGTAAAGAAAACAAAAAATTAGAGGAACTTCGGTAAAAGACTAAGTCACAAGCTATTGTAACAGTAATTTGGTGATGAAGCGGGTAGAATTTTCTATGGAACACATGGAAGTGTCTACAAATGTATTCCTCTTCCATCAAGTCTGAAAAGTGAGAGATTTTAAATAACAAAGATTCTTACTTCTTTTAATCTTTTGATCTAAAATGACTTGAAAAAAAACCCAGTCAGCAGCTGATCTGGGTTCTGGGTTCTGAATGCAAAGTTAGGTGGCTTTATCAATAATGCAAATGCTATCATGCTGTGTGCAAGCTGGGGGAGACAGAAATCTTTCTGTAACACCAAATTTTTGCTCATTTCTGAAGTGGCTGAGCTTCTTATTCTTAAACATGTTCCAGGTATTTTAAAGAGAAATGCAGCTAAATTTTGAACTTACGTAAGTTCTGAACTATCAGAGCTCATTGGAGTTCAATGCACAAGTTTACAACTGATAAACAAAGTAACTGTGGTGAGTTAAAAGTCTAGCAGTTTTACTTCTGACCTTCATCTATAGTGTAGACTGAACAATATTTTCTTGAGAACAGATCCTTAAATGCAGTAAAGCTAGCAGCTTCAGACTTACTTTCCCATATGCAGCACCTGGTACAAAAATAGCATTGCTTCATATTGAAAAGTGTTCAAAATATATGCAAACTTGTTACCTCTTGCCCCTCAAACACTGACATGACTTTTCTGTTTTGATACTTATTTCTACATGGTGTTAAAAAAAAAGAAAAAACCAACAGTTTGTAGACTGTATTCTGATTTTTTAAAATTTATTTAGTGTCCAAGCTTGTGGGTTCATGTGACTTTCAGAAGGTGACAGTGCTGGCTAGGAAGTTTCCACTCTGCCTCTCTCCCACTAGTTCTGTTTGAAGAAGCTGTATAGACAACTGGGGCTCTGGTAAATTAACAGGATTAAAAACTTTACCTTTCAAAATGAAATAAAGTTAGATCACTGATCCAGGTTAATGTGTATCTCTACAGCATTTGTCTCAAAAATAGTGAAAGGGTGATGCGGAAGCAGGAATACATTAAACTGATATCCTCACAGGGCAGAAAGATGCATGACAGTGTACCCTAAAACTTTTTAAGATTCCGCTGCTGCTGAGAAGTTGAGGGTGATGGAGACAGCAAGAAAAATATTCGGAGAGAAACAAAAATTTGGATATCCAACATCAAACTCCAAAGGGAAGCAGCTGTAACTCTCTAGCCTGCTACATCTAGAAAACATCAGTTTGATGCAGCACAGCCTCAAAGGTTATGTAATTTATTTGGAAAACTGTGTTGAGAGCTTTCCAATTTTTTGATGTTTTAGGCATCTGCGCATGCTTGCTTGCTCTCTCATGCTGATATTTTCTATTTGTTTTCAGAGAATGACAAAATCTTGAGACTTGGTTATTTTCCTGTCTCTGTGTTTGTTCTAGTATTCCAAATATTTTTTCAGGAGATAATGGGAGTATCTGATACAGCTTGTGCCACGTTTTTATTAGTTAATTGCAGAAGGAGTAAACCTCTCTGAGAGGCTATATGGAGAGTGGTCACAAGCAACAAATACTTTTTTCTTGACTGAGTTTAATAATAAACTTTCAGTAATACCTTCCAGTAATTGGTATATAGTCTGTGGTGTGCGTGTTATACCAAGTTCTCTTAGGGACCATATCTGTTCACTGTGTATACCAACTATTTTGACATAGAATATTTAGTTATATGGGGGGGGAGATTTCCAGAAATACTAAAGAAAAATTTCTCACATGCTACATTTCTTTTTAAACTCTCTTTAGTATCTTCTAATCCTGACGTTTTCTTTCCTTTTTCAGACTGAAGACTTGAGTCCTCTTCTCCTTCAGTAGCTATAAAAGTGAATGGCAAGGTCTAGTTGATAGCCAATAGTAGCATTTAGGCAGTACATCTTGGCCTGTGGTAAGTATCTGGAAGGATTGGGCTTATACTGCATTCCTGTCAGTTTCCTCTTTTGTTGCGGACATCACCAGTCCTCTCCTACCCAGTAAATACTATTGCGGACATCACCAGTCCTCTCCTACCCAGTAAATACTATTGCTGTGGAAGGACCAGTCATCAGACCTCCTTACTGGGGCAAGAAGAGTCTTTGCTGTACACTGAATGCTTGTGGAGATGATATATTGCTCACATTTCTTCCTTTCAGTAAGAAGAAAGGGAAATACACTTGTTCCTCCCATTGCTCTCAGAAGGGTGCTTCAGGAGATAAGGCTTCTATAATAATGTTAGCTCTCTCCTGAAGTGCATGGTAGAGGTACTCCATGAAGCAGCAGGTCAACAGGCTTGTAGGTTGTTCTCCTGTAGGAGGAGGCCAGCAAGTGGTGCCGTTTCTTCTCCCTCTTTACATGCTTAGTGACAGTGATTTTTGTAGTAAAAGGTAGATGTATGGTGCTGCAGGCTGAGCCCAAGTCCGTCCAGATACTTGCTAAAGACAGAGCTTTCTTTTCTTTTTTGTTCAGTCCAAACATTATCTTCTTTCTCAACTGTGGATATGTTTTATAGGTCTTAGCTAAATTCTCCAGAAGGTATAATTTATCTTTCTTGGACCTGTGGCTATTCATGTTTGTGGAGATTTGCATGGCTTTGGATTGGTGGTGGGGTTTTTCCTGACTTCCTGTAAAGCGGAAAGAAATGGAATTGAGCTTTCTCAGATGACAATACAAACCAATATTTGTCCATCTCTTTAAAACCTGATTTTCTTTCCCTGTTGGTCAGAGTAAGGTAGTCCAAAACTATTTTAATAGAAGCTTACTTTTATTGTAAATGTTCTTGTTTGGTACACAATTCTATAAATGTTCACCTTTAAATGTTCATAAATTAATTTGTTCTAGCAGGTAATTACTGACTTGAATCTGACTGTTCATCTTATTAAAATCATAAGTCTATAAATCTATGCAGGTAAAAGGGTAGGTATGAAAACATCAGTGATATCATGTGGCTTATTTCCCTTTGAGGTTCTTCCGTATTACTTCTATTACTGCATTTTGTTCTCCTTCTTCCCTGGAGTGACTTTGCTGCTGTGTGTAAGGGTATATATATTATCTGTGGATAAGCTAAGTGTGTACTTTAGGTATCTTTGTCTGTTGCAGTAAGTCTTCATGCTTAGATAGGACTACTAGCTTTAAAATTTTGGATCCTCATATAGTGTTCATTTTAATGATAGTTAACAAAGTGCAGTGCTTACCAATCTTAGAAAAACAAGAACAACAAGCTGGAAGATAATAATGCAGAGAGTTAAAACTTAACGACTTACACGCTGAACTTAGACTGTTCCCTCTAAACAATATTTAAACTTGCTTGCTGATATATTTGAGGATAAAAAAATTACTATAAAGGCATTATAGAATGGCACTGGTAATGTGGGGCAAGGGGGTTATACAGTACCTTTCTTTTAATCAGGTATTGGAAGGAAGAAATTCCACTCAAAAAAAAACCCCAAAAATACTTAATTGAAGATTTTAATGCACCAGCAAAATTTTGGAATTTTCAAGTAACAGTTTTAGGCTAATAGCTATTCTTAATTGGTCATCATTTGTTAGGAAAGTGACATCATTGTCTGTATTTTACAGTGAAGTTACTTTCTTTGTACTGTGGCCAAATGGCATAGTTCATTTAACCATAGTGTGCTCATCTTGATTGCAGCACATCTTCATTGCCACCTCTTGACTGGCCTTTACCGAGTCACTATGGGCAGTGTGAACTGAAGATAGAAGTCCAGCCTAAAACTCATCACAGAGCTCACTATGAAACAGAAGGAAGCAGAGGAGCAGTAAAAGCATCTACTGGAGGACACCCTGTAGTGAAGGTAGGAAGTCTGGCTTTCTTGAATAGAAGATAATTTTTTACCTACAACTATCGGTATTTACAATGCCGTGAATCGTTACCTCGTGTGAAGCTTACAGTCCTTCCTGGGTAAGATTTTCTCCCTTAAATGTAACTTGTTTGATACAAAAGTTAGTTTTAGATGTTTAAAAATTTACAGTTTGCTACAGTTACAGTGCATGTCACAATTTTATGCTGTATGCAGTTTTATGCTTGTAAATGGATTCACAGTGCAATAGTGTATTACTTAACGTATTCAACATGAACTTTAAGGAGGAAGGAGTGTGCATGGGGGCAGGTAAGAAAAGTCACAATAATGGATACACTGAAATATGATATAACTTCATTTGAATTGGAAATAATTTTTCTTTTGGTGTTGAGACAGCTTCTGAACACTATAAATGCCTCTTGTTAGTGTTTTTATTAGGTTATTTCTGTGAAATGGTACCCATAATTTCTCTTAACTTTCACTTAAATGTTTGGAGTAAATGAAACTTGACTCTTCTCTTTCTTCAGCATGAACCAAAGGTTATTACTCACAGCTTAATGGTAGCTATTTCCTTAAAAAGTAAGGCGTCACCTAGTTTCATTAGATTTGGACTGGTTATCTGTAAGGGCAAGTAAGACTTGTTTCTTGCTTTCTTTTTTTGACATAATTTCCATTGTCCTAACAGAATCATGCAAGCTTTATTGTCTCTTAGAACAGTTTTGATCAGTTTCAAGAAAATGCAGTAGTGCAGGCAACAGTCCTCATCTGGCTAACAGAGGATGGTGATACACTGACTGTTTTGATAACTGGTACCTGCCCTTAACAGTTGCTTTGGCTGGGTTCTTTAGCTAATACTAAATATTCCAAATGCTGATGGCATCTAAAGCGTATTATTTAAATATTTTGCAAATATCATCCAATTACTGTTGAGCTCAAAATTAGATGTAAGGTCCTGGTAAATTAGGCTTGGCTTTCATAAGAAGGCTTTGCCATCCTATTCTCTTTGAAGGGAAAGATGTGTGGGTTTGGTATTGTGGAGATACAACTGTGTGCACAAGCTGTGATGTGCTCCTCTGTGACTCTCAGAGTACAGGTGTGTACGCAAATATCTTACTCTACGCTGGGAAGACTTCTGGATTAGTTAGGGGTAGTCATTGATGTCTCCTTTAATATTTATGGTTCATGCAGCTTGAAAGGGAACCCACCCTCTCATTCACTGGCTGTGGGGAAGATTGTGCTGAGGAACTGTTGGACTTCTTAAGATGCCTTGATTTATCAGTTTGCCACATCCTCGGGTGAAAGCAATGTCTCTTTACTTGTTCACCTCAATCTTGCTTAATGGTCTTTATCTTAATCCCAAGCCGGGTTAAGATAAAATTTAACTGTTCATTCATAAGTCAAATCAGACGACAATTATAAAATCTTTAGAAGGCAAATAGGAGAAAATTAATCTGATTACATTAAGGTTACAACAGGGTTTGTCTTTTCCCCCAAATCCAGGATATTTCCTGTTCTTTTCCAGCAAAATGGCAGTCGGGGTTTCAGTCCTTAGTCTTTCACTATAGCAGTCTATACATTAAAAATGTATTTGATATATTTATCCTATTCCAATAGTTGGAAGTAACTCATTACTATTTGAGACCAGATGCAAAGTGCTAATAGGATTCGCATAATCAGTCCCCATTCTCTTTCTCCTACTCATACTGTAGTACAAACATGTTGTTGCTTTTTCTCCTTATGGTTTATTCCTCCTCTCTAGCAAGCGAATTCTGTCATGCTTTGTAATTACGTCAGTTTTGGAACAGCTCTAATGTTATATCTATATAAATAAGATGTAGCAGCAGAATTTAAATGTCTTGGACTATCTGCTCCTTTTTCCTTGCCTAAGCAATCTTCTCCCTCCAAGCTCTTCATCTGAGGAATTTCTTCTTTCAACCTGACTCCTAGTCATATTCTTTGGACTATTTATCAAACTCTTGTTTCTTCTCTGATGGCTTACCTTGAACTCTTTCATTCCTCTTTTTTTCCTCTTAAGACTTTGTATCTTTCCTCTCTCTCCCTCCAAAAAAGGGCTGGTTATCTGCATCCTGTCATCTTTCTTGAATGTCTTTCCTTATCCTTCCAATTCCATTCTTAATCTGAGTTCTTCTTCCAACTTTCATGTTCCCTACAAAGCTGCTCAATGTTCTCTTCTCATCACAATACCATGGCCTAACCAGCTCCAACTTTCTCCTACTGTCAGACCTACTAGATTTCTTACTACAGTAGGGGAAAGGGTCAAGTGCTTATCAGGGAAGTCCATGCTGCAAACTAGAGAAAATTGAGGATGCCTGAACCAGGCTGGAATCTGAAAGTCAGCCGGGCACATTTCTTCATGTGGAGTATTGTGTTGCTTTAGTCGATGGAGACCAAGTAAACACAACTTTCACGTGCCAAGGTGCTGGCACTGGAATTTAACACATTGTTAATGAGGACGGAAACTTGAGAGATTTTAGCTGACAAAATAAGTCTCTGCTGAGCTTTTGCAAACTGCATTCAATTTTGTTTTCTTTTGTTTTGCCCCTGGGTGCTTGTGTCTTGCACTAATATTTGCATTAAAGGAACTTGTTTTGTTGATGTTTATAAGATTTGACAAATACATGTAGGTTTTCTTTTGCTTACAGAACTAGATCCTTCTAAGCTGCAGTACTAACAGTAGTTAGTACTTGCAGTACTAGCTGCAAGTTAGAAAAAACAGATCTGTAATCTATGTGACTTACATCAATGATTTTAAAAGCTATTTATTTGCACTAGAATTGTGAAATACCTTGTTATGACAAGAATGCTGTTTTAAAAATGGGGGTAGTATTTATGTGTCTGACAGTCTCATGCTTAAACACATGGATTGTGCTATTCCTCTCTAAACTTAAATGAATACAAATGCAAATCAATATTCTGTTTTGCAACTTGGTCTCTTCCAGCTGGATTAGAAATTAATTGTTGTGCTTGATGGGAGAGAGGAAGTTGTTATGAAACAAAACATTGATTTGTATTAACTTTTTACTCACTGCTGGGAAAAACAGTATGCTAAGGGCCAAGTTTGGTGAAAGGCTGCGAAATAGCTGCGAGCAGATGAAAATTACTTTATTTGAATACAAAAATGAAATCTTTTCCAGCATTTCTGGAAGCTTATTATGCAAATCCAGTTCACGATATGCATTACCGTTTTTTTCTGACTTAACTTTTCTTTTTGGTGCTCTTAGCTTTACACCAGTCACTTCCATGTGTGTGATCATTGCAGTAAAGTACTCGGCATTTTCTTGTGTGAAATAACTGCATGTTAACCAGTGTCAGAGACAAGAAAGGATACGGGTGAATAGAATAGAATATTTCAGTTGGAAGGGACCTACAACGATCATCAAGCCCAACTGCCATGTCTTTGGGTGCCTGAAGGCCTGTGTGCTTTTGCTTGCTACACAATTTGTTTTGCTCTTGAACATTATTTTATAGAAAGCTAGAGTATTTAATTTCCGAACTGTGAAACCTCTGTAGTTCTGCATGTGCAGTTGAAGTATTATTTAAAATAAAGATTTTAGGATAGTACATAGCTTCAAGCCATTAGTCTATTGGTGCATGTCATTAATCTATTGCTAATACTGTACCATACCTGTTGCTAGGAGACTAAGCTTCTGACAAATTTGGCATCATCTGTTGTGAGTACGTTTAATCAGCTTATTTCCAAATGTGAGGAAATGAAATGAGTGAAGCATCATGCTTTGCTTTGTAAGTCCATTGACTTTAAGGAAGCAAATTCTGTAATGAAATTCTCTTGTTTTCAGCTTTTTTTTTAATGCAAAACATTCTAAATAGCAGATACCTGTCATTTTAATCTCTGCTTTCTTGGGACTATGTTCCAGCTAATCCATGTCATCTGGAACAACTTATTTTACCTTGGTAGAGAATCTGCAAGATAACGCTGACAATTTTCATAGGGAAGGAATCAATAACTTGGCAGAACGGTTAACAAGAAGAAAGGTGGCATGTTGAACTTTCATCATCCGAATTACTTGGAAATTTTGTATTGCCTTGTCAGAAGACGTAGAAAGCCTCTGAGCACTGTTACCATTCTAATTCAGTAGGTTAGAGTACTTACTTTACCCATCTATGAAGCCTTTTAAACAAATAGCTGCCACATTTCATCTGACACTAAATGAATGATCATCATTGCTTGAATTTCCCACCCTCCCCATAGATCAAATTGTACATAATAAAAATAATGTTTACACTTCCAATTTGCTAGAATGAGATTTTACTGTTATCTAAAATGGTTAGGGGTCTTCATGAGACTTCACTTGGATAATGCTTATGATCAAAAACATATAAGCATTTAAGAGCAGGTGGGCACATGATAAGGATCTCTGTGACTTTTTTTTATTTTCGTGTTTTAGCTTTCTGTTCTAAAATGAATTTTTTCTTTTTAAAACAAACAAACTTGCTTGTATACTGTGTTCCTGCTATTCATGTCAACTTCTACAGTTTTCTGAGTTTTCTTAAGTATTTTAAATTTAATGGTGTCTTTTGGTAGTAAATTCCATAAGCTGTGTTGTGCTCAACAAGAAGTATTTCCTTTTTATCTTTTGTCCTGTTACTAGTGAAGAAGGTGATCTACATGATACTCTTCTTGATAACCGTACAATGTGATGTACTGAGGGACTGTTGAGCTAGCAGCTACTTGTTAGCACCGTTCTGTATGCAAGAACGAGTATCTGTCCTGTGGCCATTTACCACAGTGGGAATCGGTTCTAGATGTGAACTATGATAAAGGTAATTTATTCTAAAATGGATGATGTATCTGCAACAAACACTGTATAGAATCCATTTGTGTCCCATGCATGCAAGACAAATTTGGGGCAGTGGTAGCTATTAAGAATTTGTCTGTACCAGAAGTGTCTTTTTGCCATAGTACGAAGGGTTTAAGGATAGAATCATTCATTTATTCCTCTGCCGTAAGCGAA